GCAGCGGCCCGGGCCCCTGCTAAACCTGCCGGCCATGTGCCAGCCCAGCCCGGCTCAGATCTCCAGGCCTGTCAGAGTGGAGGTCGCAGGCCTGGGCCATCTCCTGGGCTTTCAGGTGCCACCTGGGCTCCGCTCCTGCCTCTCTGGAGCGTGTAGGCGGACGGCCCCAATCGCAGGATCTTCCCACTGCCCAGGCACTCCTGGCCCCTGTAGAACACGGCGAACTGGAAAGCAGACACCAGCATCAGTGGCATGGCAGTGAGGTGTGGGGTGGGGCCTGAGGAGCCCCAGCTACCCTGCCTGCCCACGGCCCAAGCCCCAGCCAGCTCCCTGTCCACACCCACAGGCCCCGCTGCACGCTTGCTCTTGCCACTGAGGCCCACTGTGCCCTGTAACAGGGCCCCATCCTCTGTGTCCCAGAGCACAGCTCTCGCCCGTGCCTCGGGCCCGTCCAGAGCAGGCTGGGCAGCAGCTGGACCCTCAGCACCTGGGCAGGAGCCAGCAGGAAAGAGACATCAAAGGCCTGGCCCCCAGCTCCTGGTAGGGGAGGAGGTGTGCCAGGCGAGGGCTGCCCTGCACCCTCACAGCTGTGACCTCCATGGGCACCCACAAGCCTCTGGCCTCAGCCCCTTCTCTGTAAACAGGGAGCCTGGTGAGAAAGCACAAGGCGGTCCATGGGGAGGGGAAGCCCAGGGCACACAGCACAGGCCCACGCCGTCTGACGAGTAAGGACGCTCGGAGGAAGAGCAGCTTGCCGTCTGGGGCAGAGCTGGCTGGCACCTGGATGCACAAGCGGGTGGTAGCACTGAGGCTGATCCTGCCAGCCAGGTGGCATCCCCTCTTCGGCTCAGAGCACAGTGCAGGGCTTGCTCCCCCACCTGGTCCCACTCACCTGTCCCAAGGCAAGGGCCCGCACAGCCTTCACGGCCGTCACCCACACGGTGCCATCTTGATTGAGAGTCAGCACGCAAGGCACTAGGGGAAGAGAGGGACCTTGGAGTAGGCACAGGCCAGGCAGGCCCTGGGCAGCCCCAGGCCTCAGGCCCCAGGGAGGAAGCAGCACCAGCCCAGCAGCCTGACTCAGCCACTCAGACACATGCTTGCCCGCGTCCCAGCACCTCCCTGAACAGCTGCCCCTGCTTCTGTGCCAGTCCGTGCTGGGTAACACAGAACACAGGTGTTCCAAACACTCTGTACAACTCAGCCATGGAGACCTTCCTGCCCGAGAGGCCCATCTCCCTGGCCTGACCCTGGCCCCAGGAAGCTCAGTGCCAAGGGGGTCCCTCCTCGAGTTGTCACAGGCCCACTCACCTAGCGCCATCTGGTGGCGGAACCGGAAGTGACACTCCATCATCTTGTCCCGGACCAGGACAGCAGGTGGCTCCTCCGCGATCCAGTGCACGCGGCTGGTCCGCAGCAGGTCCCTGTACAGGGCCGGGTGGTCTGTCTGGGGGGCCTGGAGAGCAGAACGCAAGGTCCTGATGCTCTGGATCTCTCAAGGCCCACCTCGCTATATACCATTAAAAACGCCCATCCTGGGACCAGCAGTTAGTATAATGGCTATGTTGCTGGACTCCCGTGTAGACGACCACGGTTCACGTCCCGGATCCAGTGGCTTAAAACGCACGCCGGGCGTGTGTACGTGCGTGCCCAAGATCCCGAGAGGAGAATGGAGAAGGGAGTGTGGCGTGGCGATCCCCCCGGGG